AGGCATTCTGCTGTCTTGGCAGAGAGTGCCAGAGCCTCAGGCCAGCTAGCAAGGAAGCTGAGTCTGCTGCTGCTGCCAATGTCAGCTGTTGTTCTGAGGGTTGCAAGTGTTGCGGTAGGTTTTGAGAGCACTAGGAGAAGCTACTGCCCCCCCCAGCATCCTAATGGAAATCATGTTGTAGCTTTTGGGGGGCAACGAAAGCTCTGATCTTCCCAACTACATCTGCTGCTGCAAATTCAAACGTGACCACCAAAGCTAGTGCAGCTGAAATGCAGCTCCCATTGCCTTTGCGTACCTCCCTTCCCTTCACGTACAGCCACTGTCAGCAGGGTACATGTCACTTCTGCTTCAAGCAGGGGAACAAAGCCAATACTGTGCTACAGCTCGCTGAAGCACTTACTTGGCCCCTGTTATTAGAAAGTCTGAGCCCTTCACTCCTCCTTCCAGCTGTCCTCCCTGTGCCCCAGGTGGCATGGCAATGCTCCTATCTTAACACTTCAGGCAGGAAACAGACCACAGAGAGAAATGCCATTTGTCCAAGGTCTTGATGAGAGGTCCGTGACAGAGCAAGGAACTGAAGTCCTTTCCCTGAGTCAGATTAAACTCAAATGATCAGACTTTCTATTTCCCTTCCTTCACCCCCAAAATCTCTTGGTTGTTTTTCCTCACCATGCTATGAAGCTTGCTTTCCATTTTGAACTGTTTGTGCAAACAAGACTTTTTCCCCCCCTTTCTTTTGCTCAACTGTGAATTCAGTCTCGACCCATGCACAAGAAGACTCTCTCCTATTTGAACCAAAGCCATGTTCAGAGGTCTTTATGCTGGCACAGCACCAATCTGCAGGTGGGATATGGGTGGCTCTGTGGGGGCTGTCACCAATGAACCCCAAACTGCCTCTTCCCATCCCATGTTCTCCCTCTTTTCCTCAGGCTTGCTTTGACACCAGCATCACTGGGATGGTCACAAGCCCTTTTGTAGGGAGCAATCTGATGCAGAGAAGGCATCAGTGTCTCACTTAGCCCTCAGCAAGTCCCCTGCAGGCTTGCCTCCTCTCTCCCGCCGGCACAGCCCGTGGCTCAGCAGAACAGCCCTGCGCTAATTAAGCAGCGCGGCACAGCAGGGTGTGTGTTCCTTGGCCATCACAGCCTCCCTTGGACACGCTGCAGAGAAAAGGCTGAAGCTTCGCAATGTTAACCTTCCAAGAACCGCTTTAATTGCCCAGTAATGCACACCCTGGGGTCTTGTAATGTGCTTCTAATATAGAGCATTTAAAATATGAATACTCCAAAACAATGACAAGGAGTTTGGTGCTCTGCTGAGTGTGTCCTTCCACTCTGAAAAATAATCCATGACAAAGGAATATGATCAAAGCGAGGATACCAATGTTTTATGAAATCTGTCAGGGCCTCCTTGGGGCAGCAGGACACACCATTTATTCCCTTAGTGCAACTTCACTCTGTTCTTCCAGGATTAAAAGAACTGCTAGATTGAGACTCCAGATGATTCAGACCTACCTCATCTCCCTCTGATCAGCCCTAGTATGATTTTTTGTTTGAGATACTGTCTAAAGACTCTGCCAGCAATAGTAACAGAGGAGAAACCACAGAGTATGTCAGGCTGTAAGAGAGTTTGGATAGACATGTCAGAGAAGCAAGGGATGTTTCCAATGATCTGTCATTCTTTTAGCAAGTAATTTCTGGACACGTTTAGAAGGGTTTTTTTACTTGCTTATTTACAAGGAGTGAAAAAAAGTTCTGCTTCTCAGAAAGTACTATAGCTTAGCTAATTTTAACTTCTAATATTTCTTTCTATGTTCTTAACCAAATTTTATTAGAGCTTGTAACAACTGTCATACTGGGAGAGATTGGTTTTGTCTGTCCATCTGTATTCAGAATCAGCAAAAGGAATTGCATTAAAACTGCTGAAAATAACAAAATAGAAATCAAACATTGGGAATTCATTATCTAATGCTGAACATTTAAGAAAGTCAAAGGCAGTTGGTTTCAGCTGGAGCTGTATGCAGTATTAACTCTAGAAAGAGTTACTACGAGCCAACTCTGGTAACTCATGATTTCTAGGAATGGATGTGTAATTCACAGTATGATACTATGTACTGTAATGACATTATATGCCATTACTTAAGATAATATTGCATATTAAATTCAGATTGTGAAATGAAGTTCAGTTGCTTTACTGCAATCAAAGATCTATAAATGTCCTGTTGCTGAAGCTTCAGAAGGTTATGTATTAAATCTGTGTATATTCTCCAAAACTCAAAGTAGACAACTTGTGCAAAAACCTCCCAATGGAAAATGAAAAATTGGAATTTACAGTAAGTACCGGTTTATGCCCCTAATTAAACACAAATGCTGTTATTGGAGTCACTGACTGTGATGGAATTAGAACAGGGATGAATTTAGTCCAAAGTGACAATTTCTTTTGGAGAAAAGAAAGGCGTTTGTAAATATCAGCATTTACTTCAAGAAATCAGCACTGCTGACTTGTGTGCCAGGATTTGTGTCCCTTCTGCTTTTGGGAAGGGCTGAGGAAGTGTTCTGCAGTAAGGTTTGTCTTTCTCCAGGGTCTAGAGGCAAGAACAAGCCATCAAAGGCAGCAAGAGGGGATCAAGGTTTTGCTCCCTCTTACACAGCAGTAATCCAGAAATCCTAGGTTTGAGGCAGCAGCGCTGGCTTAGTGCGTATTTCAGTCTTCGTAAGGGTGAGAAGCTTTCAGCAATCCCCAAGTTTAAAGTCGGCATTATTATGCTGCATCTGTTGCTACAGGACCAGGTCAGCTCTGTTCATCTTTCATCTGCTGTTTCATTAGGTGGCCCTGTGTAGGACAGACTCACTCAAAGCCTCTTAAAGCAGCAGCAGTGATGTCTAGCTATCCTGCTGCTTATCACTGTCCCTAAAGGAATCGACCCGGGGGATGCATTGCCATGTTCTGTACTGAGTGTTAAGGTCCTGAAATTCCTCCTCTTTCCTTACAACACTAGTGTTTGGTCATGATTGTAGGGTAAAGGAGCACTGCTGGGGAGGGCCCTTTCATCACCTGCTTCTTCTTTTACCCATAGGATATACCTTCTACCTGAGACCTCATTAGCTTCACTGTGCATTTGATGCCAAAAATTATTTGACCCAAGCCACTGGAGGTTGCACAACCAGAACGGCTCCCCTTTGCTCAGTGTTTCCAGGCACTTTGTCTTGACATAAAACCAGTTTCATTCTTATGAGGGGAACATTTACGAACAGAGCCTTTCACCTCTGGGTCACTAGCTGAAATCTGGCCCTGGTTGGTAGTGACCGAAAATCGTTATCAGCTGACGGTGACTTGGTGAAATGAGCTGGTGAGTCTCATTCCAGATGGACACATCTCAGTAAATACAGTCACAACTGGCACTAACTGGCATTCTCAGCTGAGAGACCGTGAGCTGAAGGGGGAAGGAAATTGAACCTTCCGCTTTGTCCCCTGCCTGGGTTTTTGAAGCATTACGGACAGGCATTTTATACCACCATCGTTTCACAGGCTGCTTTTACTCCAAATGGCTTTTTGAAACTTTGTAGTTTTCATGCAGCATGATTCAGCACAGCCTGATCACCCAGCTCAGTATAATTAGGCTCATCTTATGGTTCCCCTCAGTAGAAGCTGAGCTGTCTGATGCCACCTCCCAGTACGAATGGTGAATCTTTTGTCATATCTCAGTATGAATGGAACCGTCTGATGTCACCTCAGTGCTAACATGACTTTTTATAATATGTCATCTAAGGCTACAGGGGAGTTCTTCTAATCCACTGACTAGGCTACACTACAATAGAACAAAACACAGTATAATTTGTAGGTTAACTTAGACATCCTCAGGCAGATTTTGGATAGACGGATGGATGGATGGATAGATACATTTATACAAAGTATACATACATTATATCACTCTATTGATTTTTAAAAAGTTCCAGGTCTGCCTGGCTATAATGAGATTTTTGAACTTTGTGTTGCGATCAATGAGGGGAATATTATTGGCCTGGAGAATTGATATACCCGCTCTCTGTGGCTTGTTCTGCTCCTGGACTGCCCCTGCCCCCAAGGTGTACGATTCCATCAGACACTTAACCTCTTTTACAGTGTCATCAGGCTAAAAGGAATCTAATAGTGACACGGGACTTGTGCTCAGCACTCTGGCACTATTGCTTTCCTGTCACAAATAATTTATAGCTTTCTATTTCCATCCCTTTGCCTGCACCCCATCCCCTCTTTCTGTTTCTCTGGGCTGGGGGAAATCAATAAACTCACACAACCAGAGTGGCACTTCAGGGGGTTTTAGGGGGAATGTGAGAGAAAAGAAAAAAAAAAAAACAACAGAAAAGAAGAAAAAAGTTACATTATTTGCCCTAGCAGACTACTCAGAGCAGCTCCTCAGCTAGTGCAAATCAGCATGACCTCAGCATCTGGCCCTGAGACCCTCAGACACCTTTGTCTAGGTCCTCAGTAGCTATAGATTAGGGCCCCTGGTATTACTGACCTATACGGGGTGAGGATCTGGATGTCCATCCCCAGCTAGAACCTTGACATTCCCTGTCTCTAGCTACGTCCCAGGCAGCCTCTCTGCTACTCCAGCTACAGCCCAGGCTTCATCACGTGTGTACTGGAGTTTCCTAACATGCTGAGGTGATACGTTTCTTTTCCTAAGAAGGTTTCACTCTCAGGAGTTGCGCTTTTTCAAAAATGCTCTCTCAGTGTCTCTGCCTATGTCTGTCTATGCCATACCATTCACTAGCCACAGATTTGGTCTTTAAAGTTTTGCTAACTTATTCTTCAGAACGAATCTTTAAGGGAAGCTCTCGGGTGGACAGGGAGAATGTGTTATTTGCTTTCACTTTATGGAGAGATCTTTGGGGAGAAGTTAAAGCTAATATAATGCAGGGCTGAGAGTTCCAGAAACTCAAGCTGAAGAGCATCTGCAGCCTTCACCCTAATTGGAGAGGCTCGTTTTAATCTCGGAAATGAATTTGGTCTCTGTGGCCTCCACAGGTCATGGCTTATTTGCCAAGTTCCTTGGTGAGACAATCATTCCCGAGTCACAGATACCCAGCATCTGCCAGCAGGCAGGGACCCTGCCAGTCAAGTACTAGGTGCTAGTGATTTTCTTTCACCACTGACCTCAGCTGGATTTAAACCAGTGACCTAGAGGTTGAAGATTTCATGTAACAAGAAATGGAGCGCTGACAATTACAGTTCAGTTTATTTTCATTCTGAGCTGCATTATGAGCTTTGTGGCATTCACTGAGACATCTTTTTGTGTTCCCATGCTGTGTTCATTCACCACCTGATAAACACCAGTTTTTGCCCTCTTGCCTGGAGCTTCTTTTTCCTGGTGATCTATATCCCATCAGCACTTCCTACAGATGCCTTCTGCTCCCACCTTCTCATTTATGAAGGCTAAGAGCTTTGGGCAAGCCTCCCATCAGTTCAAAACATTAAGTTCTATAGCAGAAAGGTGTTTTGTAGGTACACAACAAAACTAAATCTACACGTTTGTAAATCCAGCAGTGACTCTATTAGCTGCAAAGACTGCCTTGTGATCACACTGGCAGATCAGATCATAAGTGATAATGCAGTTGTTAACGCACAGGAGATCTTAGGTCATTTATTGAGCACCATAGTTATGCAGTGAATACTCAGGTTTGGGGAGAAGATGACAGAGCAAAGCAAATTCTGTGGGAACTAGACAATTAAAATGTTAGAATCAGGATCACAAGAAGGCAAATGAAGCCACTCTGCTGCACCCAGAGCTCAGATCAGGCTTCAGGTTCTGGCAGCTGGGATTGCAGGTGTTCAGAGGCACAGAGAAGTTGCAGTTGAATGCTGAACATGTTTTTCTCTTTTCCAGGATCATCAGAACCAAAGTTCAGCAACCTTTTCACCCAACGCCAGACGGGAGCGGGACAGGTGTGACTGCACCAGGACATACTATCGGTAAGAAGACTGGCATGAGGGGTGGTGACAGGACAAGTGGAAACGAGAATGAAGCTTAGTTGAGGGAACACAGTCTGACAAGCAGATGCTAAGCAGAGCAAAAGAGAGGAGGAGGTGGGGAAAATGGAAGTCAGAGGTTTCTGTTCTTTGTTTCCCTTGTTGCATGGCAGAGAAGGGAATCATGGCAGAAGAACCAGCCCAAGGCAGGGGTTTGCCCAAAATGATTCTGGCTTAACATCCATTTCATGTTCACTCTCTCTCCTTCACCTTCCTAGAGAGAAGTATTTACCACTATCCTGTCTAAGCACCAGTCTTCACCTTTTGTCTCCTTCTTACTCTGACTCTCTTTTCTCCTCTTTGTCCCAATTTATCTTCTCTCCCTTTGCTGGAACTGGTCCATTTCTTAGGGCTAGTAATACACAGACCAGGGTAAGATATTTCTGATGCTCACAACTGAGTTCTTAATTGTTCTAGCTCTGCAGTCAGGTATCCCATGGGTGTATTTCACTGAGAAAATACATTTTCTGCTGGGGGAGATGGGTTTATCAAGGTGAGCAGAAGATGGAGGCCATAATAAAGGGACCAAACATCTTCTAGTCTGTTGTGTTTAAAGGTACCGTGCTAGATGTGTGATGAGGGACTTTCCACTGATGTCTCTGGGCTCTATGGTCTGCTGTTATTAGCATAGTAGTTGCTGTCATCCATTTACGATTCAGAGCAGGAAAAAACATGCAGTATTCTGGTATACTGTGAAATACAGTGGCTTATTCGTAGCCTAAGACACTGTCTTAGATACTGTTGGTTTCTGAGTATCAGCTGCTATACAAGGGAAGTGCTGGTCTACATGGGACAGAGCTGGCAGATAAAATCCTGTACACGAACTGTGAACAGGAACACAATGAAATTAATTGGCCAGTATGGAAGACCATTTCTGTATGCCCTTTTAATCTGGACTTGCTCACTGGACTGGGAATCACTGACCACAGCAGATGGAGTTGGCAGATATTCCCTCTTGGAAAAGTAATGCAATGTCTAGGGAATGCATTGGCTGAGCTGGGACAGTGATTGTGAGTGCTGCTGCTGGAGTCTCTCATTGCTCTGGGATGTACTGGGAAGTGTGGGTCTACATCGGATAGGGCTGACAGGTTCTGCTCCATCCTGGGAGGCTTGTATTGGAGGTACCGATTGATCCAGGTCAGCGCTTTATGAGCTGAATGATGGATAGTGGCCTATAAGAGAATTGAGATATTCTCCCCATTACTGGGACACTCTGGGACATAGTGGGCATGCCTATTGGATGCATAGCTCTACTTGTACTGTACTCTGAAGTTCTGATTGTCATGAAGTGATAATTTCTAATCTGGATGATTTGTCATTTCTGATATACTGGAAACTCATGAGCAATCTTGGACAGCCCTGAGTGGCAGGAAGAGTCTGCCTGTTGGCATTGGTCAGTGCAAAAGGAAGATACTAGATTTTTATTAATCTAGGTTGGAATATGTATCACCAACTCACCATTTGTTCTACTAGGGAACTGAATTTATCAGCCCAACACTGAAGTGTTTCTAACCTATGCTAAGAGGGTAATATTTCAATGAGTGTTTTGGGTGGACACTTAAGAGGCTGGTCCAGCTAAGACAGAACATATGCACTCCTAGTGGAAAAATGCTGAGAGGAAATGATCTGGCAAACTATGGATGGACTAGGAAGTCACTAGAGAATGTAGCCTATGCAGCATTGCACTCAGTTACTATGGCATGCACTGGGAAGGCTGCTCTGAACTGGGATATAACAACAAGGTTTAGCTTCTTGACGGAATACACTTGCTTGTTATTAATGGCCCTGTACTGGAAGGCTGTGGAGCTATGGTATAGGAATGGACTGGCAAAACTGGGATGCAGCAACATTAGCAGTAGAACGAGTACGAGTCCTTCAGTGTGAGGGACTGGGAGACTGCTTAGTGCCCAGGCTTTCCTATGAAACTGGTGGCATGTGTAGCTTTCAGCTGGAGGATCCCTGAGTGCTGTGCTGCTCTCCTCATGGCCCTTTTTTCCCTTTTCCTTTTGTCCAGTGCCCAGCACAGCATCCCCTCCCGTCTCCAGTGCCTCCAATGATCCAGTGGGCTCTTACTCCATTAACGGGATCCTGGGGATTCCTCGGTCGAATGGCGAGAAGAGGAAACGTGATGAAGGTAGGGGGAGGGGAGAAGCTCATCCTCCCTTTTATATTCTTTGTCCCCATGTACAGGCTCCAATTTCAGGCCAAGGTTTGCAGCTGCTCCAGGGGCTAGATCAGTTTTAGCAACAGAGACCAGTTCCCCGCCACTGCCCTGCTGGCTTGGAATGCTCTTCTTCCGAGGCCCTTTCATGACAGGCTGCGTCTCCAGACATCTGCTCGGCAGGCAGAGAGCCATCTCCATTGCTGGAGCTGATCCCAAGTTCATTCACTGCTGGAAACGGCTGGAACTGAACTCCCCAGGTGCCAGCAGGTGCCCGGACTTTGAACTGCGGGTAAACATGGTTTCCCCGACTCACTCGTTTTCAAACAAAATGCCATTGCCATCTCGGAGAAGCACCAGCAATGCGGGAGTTATCTTTCATTCCCCTTGCAAACAAGTTCCTGCCCTGTGACATGCCATGAGCTCCATTAGCTGATGATCATAAGGGCCCAGTTTTCAATGGGTAGTATCTACCACAGCAGAACTGCCATGCTTGCAACAGTCTGAAAGCAGAACAGGAGGTCTTCTCAGTACTGTGTCCCTAAGGTTGTTTTCTAAGCCTTTCACTAGGGCTCAAAGGAATTAGGATTAAGCTATCTCATTTTCCTTCCTACCTGCTGGGAAGGACTCAGGGCAAAGGGAATCCTGAAATATGCCAAAAGCTGGAGCCTCCGGTCCAGACAGACTGAGTCAGGAGGGGTGGGTAAGGTCTTGGTGTTCTTATGGTGACTTTGTAAACTTTTTTCCTTAAATCTTGCGCTTACAATTTTATGTATTAAAAAACTGATGGCCAGGAGCTGAACTTTTCTAAGAGTGGTTCCTGACCAGTTTGTTTGGCTCAGCCCTGCCTTCAGTATGTTGTCTTCCACTGTTGTCTGTTGCGTGCGGTGACCTCTTAGTAGTACAGGTGGCTCAGTGTGCTGCACGTGCTGTAACCTTGAGGCTGTTCGGTGCAAGAGAACATAAAGGTTCTCTGTGATACTTGGTGAGAAAAGAAAGCTCCTCTGAGAGAAATGCTGCAAATTGGTGTTTTGCTATTAATTTTCTCAGCGTTGGTTCAGGTGAGGTTCACATCTGTAAGTCTTTGATCCAAATAAACACAATAACCACAAGAAAAAAAGGCAGTCATCATGACCCCTTTCTCCCTAATACAAAGTAAAACTAGAGGCAGGGACCCAATCCAGCACCTATTAAAGCAAATGGGAAGATTTTTGCTGATGTCATTGGAAATTGGATCAGGCCCCAGAGGAAGATCCATTTCCCAGCTAGATGGCAGTAGGGCCCAGCTAAGAGAAAAGCGTAGCAATGGAAGGGCTGAGTCAGTGCCTCAAAGTCAAAAAATGTCAGGAATAAGAGACTGCAAACACTGCAGACCCCTCCAGCATATCCCATCATTACATATACAGGAAATAGTGACATTTCAAACTGAGTGACAAGTTTCTCTAATAGTTGTGCCAATCTCTTGGCAGTTATTTGGGATTTTTGTGAACCCCTGTTCTCATACGGTCCGGCATGGTGATCACCAGCTCTCAACATGGTGTCTCCATGTCTCATTTTGAAATGAAGCAGTTCAATCTGGCTTTAGCAACCATTCTTTCCAAACACCAGGAAAGACCATCCCACTTTAGATGCAGCCACGCAGCTACTTCCAGCCTCAAAACCTGAGTGTTTTTGGAGCAGTACAATTAAACACAGAAACAACCAAGCAGCCATCTAATACTGTGACACTTCACAGTGATCTATTGACAGTAAGAAAAACTCTCCATATCTGTTCTTAATTCATCCCAGATTTGATTTATGAAGGGCAAGCAATACTCTCTAACTCCTCGCTGTTGGCCAGGAGCCCACATATACCACTAGGAATCAAAAAGGTACCAGATAATCCTGGAAACATTGCTTGTCTTTAGCATTCAGAGTTTTAGGTGGCAGTTACATGACACAGCTGCAACTGCCTTAGAGAACAGCCTTCATCCTGCCATCCCAGATATCTGCTGCAGGGAGATATCATGCTCCTGTCCCAGAAAAACCTCACATGGGACCCCCTGCCAGCTGCCGAACACCCCTAGCCAAGAGTTGAGTTATCTGGACTCACATTGGCCTTAAGAAATACTGAAAGACATCACCACTTTGCAGGGTTGAGTCCTAAGGCTAGAAGGGTCCAAGGGGAGGTTTTGCATAACCAGTGACCTGCAGTCACTCCTGGGCAATCTCCCCTTTAGCAGTAAGGGCTCTGATTGTTCCTAGCCGAGATGAGGATTAAAAAAGACAGGCAAGAAATCCAGTGCAGGCATTTCTTCCATGCCCATGTTGGATATATACACCTTCTCAATATTTCCCAGAGATTCTGAGCACTGTTTTGTTGCAGTTTCCTAACTGCAGGGTTTATTCTTGTGTTGAAAAGCCCTTATGAGCTCCCAATGCACATCTACTTTCCCAGCATTTTGGGGGTGGTTCTTCCCTAAAGGAGGCAGAAGAAGCAGCACTGTTCTCTCTTTCTTTCCACTCTGTTGCATCAGCTCTGCTGCAAGGATTCCTCAGGAATCAGAGGAATCCTTGCAGCAGAGGAACGCAGTTCAGTTCAGCAGAAAGAGGGAAGTACCAAACTGCTCATGAATCCCTGGTTCTGAAAACCTTGTTAGCAACCTCTGTGATTGCTGGGGGAAACAGGGTGGGAGAAAGACAGAGAAGCCTCTATCTGAGCACACCCCCTCCCCAAGGTCCTCCTTGTTGCAGCTGGTGCCGACATTAGACAGTAGCACAGATGATTAAGAAGAGGAGAGATAATTATGTGTCAAGATGATATAGCAGAACTCCCGAGTTGGACAGAAGGAGCCAGACGGATGCATGAGGTGGGCTCAGCGATGGACGCTGACAGCCAGGTGTGTCCCTCACAGGGAGTGGGAGAGAAGAGGGAAATCCCAACCTACCAAATGTGCCGGTTGCAACTGTAAGGTGGCCTGGGAATACTATGGCATTGAGAGCAAGCTAGCAGGGAGGTAGCTCTTGAGTGTCTACTAGTCACAACAAGGAGCTGTCAGATCACAAGTCTTTCCTCAAAACTCAATGTGTCTTCCTCATATGAGTGCCTAGGAAGGATGGTCAGGATTTGCCCTGTTAAGACCGTGTATTCCTTTTGTTTCAGTTTGTGACCAGTGATTGTAAGCCCTCTGACTTCAGTGACAGATTAGAAAAAGCAGAGTTGGTCTCCTATGACTTTTTAAATAATTTGGCTAAAAAAGTTCACCACTGCTTGTGTAGCACAGTGTGTGCCATTTCTTGCAGTCTATGGGCACAGCCAATTTTGTAATTTCCTTCCAACCTTCCCACCACTTACACCCACCATCTTCCAGAGGCAGAAGTGGCCCTGCAGCATGTAATGACTTTCTCAAGACCCCTAAGGGTCTTGCAGTATCAAGCTGCATCTGAAAACAGGAATTCCTGGCTCTTCACGATCCTAATATTGTACTGTGATGGAAGGCCAAGCTCAGCAGGGTCATTGTCATACTAAGGAGCAGCAATAAACAGTCCAGAAGGTTACAGGGAAAAAATAACATGCAAATATTTCTGTTGTTCCATAACCCCCTGATTGACAGCTAAAAGGATGAGAATTGAGGTGACCCAGAGACGCTAACAAAAAATTAGTATCCCTCATATTGTAGTCCTGAGCACTGTATAAAGAAAAAAAGGAAGAGATGGGGAGAAAGACAAATGAATAGATGGATAGATAGACAAATAATTAGATAATATGAAAACAGTATTTCAAACTGTTCCCTGCACACCACAGCACCTCCAGTTGGGTAAAACTTTTGGGATCTTTACAAAACTAGTCTTAAAAGAAATAGCTCTTTCTCTCCATACCAGGCCACAAACAGACTTCCTCTATAGACCCAAATTCTCATTTGGGATTCATGTTCCAGTGAGGCCAATGATGTAACAATCTCACCATTATTAATCTTGGTCCCTGACAATGTCTGTAGTATTTGACAGCATTAATGGCAATAATATCTGCAGTGCCGACAATGGCAGAGATAATATCCCCCAGTATTATCGGCATTAGCAGGGATCATATCTGCAGCCTGTTATTGGCAGGAGCAGACGTAATGTGTCCAGTATTATTAGTATCAGTAGTAATAAAACCCACAGGCTTGTTAGCATGATCAGTGCTAATATCAGCAGTGGGTTTGTGGGAGAGGAGGGGACGGAGTGATTGCTACTGTAAATGGCAATAATACTCAGGCTGTTTGCAGTAAAGGAATCCCCAGCAGAGATGGGGGAGCAGACCTGGAAAGGCAGAAGTTCCTCCTTTCTTTTCTTCACCCGTCATTTTGATGATTACATTGATTTACATTGAAGTACGTGATGCAGGGATATGTCAGTGCAGGGGGCTGATAAAGGGTCATCCACATTTTGGCAGATCTGGCGGTTTTTTCCAAAGAGCATTAGCTGTATGAGTGCAGGAGGTTCACTGTACTCTTCAACACAGAGTTGAGCTATGCAGAACAGGATGCTGCTTACTAGCAGTAGGAGCATTTGCACTCTTCGTCCTGTAGCTGCAGGATGGGCCGCGTAACTGCACCTCTCGTGGATGCTGCACACATGATTTTCTTACTTTTATTTACCACAACACCCTCTCCTGAGAAGCTCTGCTTTTGTTACAGGTGGTTTTCTCTTCCCTTGCTTCAAATGGGAGAACTCTGACTGCAGGGCAAGGGTTTGACAGTGTTCAGCCTGGGGATTTTCCTACCTGGCCATGATCTCGTTTTCCTACTGGGAAAATAGAAATGCCTCATTCAGGGGGAATGTGAGGCAGGGAGATCTGCAACAGTCCCCATCCTGAAAGTTGTTTTTTTAGATACTGCCCTAGGACACAGACTACCCTGAATAAAATTTGGAACTCAATTGTTTAAGTGGAAAGTAGTGCAGAGAGATGTGTAATTTGTTTAAGAAGGTCTGTGGTTTAGAGCAGATATACA